GGGGAAGGGGGAGGGGGGGGGGGGGGGGGGTAGAGAGCACTATTTTTTGTTTGGCCCTCGAAAATTTGAAAAATCACCCCCCCCCCCCCCCACATTAATCGCCAGGGGGGTCCCATCTCGACAGCTAGCTGGCAATCGACAGCTAGCTGGCAATCGACAGCTAGCTGGCAATCGACAGCTAGCTGGCAATCGACAGCTAGCTGGCAATCGACAGCTAGCTGGCAATCGACAGCTAGCTGGCAATCGACAGCTAGCTGGCAATCGACAGCGTAGCCTGGCGGCGGTAGCGGGTAGCCCCAAAGCCATGTCCATTTAAAAACTGCATTCAAGAGCCTCTTATTGCTAGGTTTACAACGTTGTTTTACATTTGCAATTATAATTTCCTAGTTTTATTCACTCTCTACAGTCCCGTACTATCTCTTTTTCAGTCTGTAAACAACTTTGCAACACGAAAACAATGATGAACAGGGTTTTACTTCTCGTATAAATTTATTAGAAGTGCCCTATGTCATTTTGCACGAAGTGATACAAAGGGCCTTTCAAATTTAAGTCTATTGAAAGCATTCCCCCACCTAGCCTGTATGACCGAGCAGAATCATTTAGTGCTCAACAATAAAAATCCACAGTCTTGGCTAAAGAGGTCCATTATTTGTTTGTTTATTTAGTTATTTTATTTAATTGACATTGTACAGTACTATTAAATATCAGGTATATTGGATGCTCTGTTTTAAATACAGTCAAGATTGCCGAGCAATGAATTACATCCTGCTTCTTGTCCTCAAACCATATCTTTCTGGTTTTTAAAACGGTATCATTTGAATTTCCATTTCCAAGCATTATTTTGAACTGTCCCGAAATTGTTTTCCTTTCTTGAAATCAGACTACAGTCCCAGTCCTAGACAAGGAAACAGAGCCTCTACATAATAGACTTCGTTCGTACGCCATTTGCTTTGAATATTCATTCATAGTATTTCGATAGCATTACGTCATCTTTCATACGCCTGTCCGGCATGCATTTCGAGGAACTTGTACTTTTCTATCGGTAGCGTACATAGAGATACATACTACTAAGCAAAGAGATTCGATCATACACAGTATGTCCTTCGTAGGAGGACTAGAGGGCCAACTAAAATCGTGACCTTTGACATTTCATAGGTTTTGCATTGGTTTGTCCGATTTGAACGACGGTTTTGGAGGGTCAATGAATATTCATGAGCAATGACGTAAAAAATACGCCAACTACTGTTCGTTGATTGGCCATCGACAAAATGTTTTATGTATTAGGTCATGCATAAAACATTTTTTTCATTCCCAGAATTCCCTACAATTTGAGCACGAAAATGGCGGTTGTATGAACTGCGACTTTCAAGTTATTCAATTACGAACAATGAAACATTTTTCTTTTAAGTGAATTTCTATTATAATAGAAGTTTGTCAAGTACATCTTAGTGAAGCAGAAAATCTTCAGGCGAACATTGACATCGAAGTGATACCCTATGATATCAAGAAAAGTAAGTAAAGATCCATTTTGTTTGAAGGTCTCTGAAATTATTGTGATGTGTTCGTCATTGCAGTGAGCGGCTCCCCGCATTGTCACAACGTATTACCCGGTTAACCCCCTACCCCATCCTCTTTTCTTTCTTCTGACCAAAGAATATTAACTGATTGAATGAACTCTAATTTAAGTCATCGACGGTAATATTTTTAGAAACAATCAGGATTTTACCGTAGGTTATTTCATTAGAGCGCATCTCATAATTTTAAGTTCAGTTCATAGCTTGATTACCGATAGTAATCGGTCGTAGATGTGGACCTGTTGTAGACTGCGGAAATGGCTCATTGCTAGTCCAAGCCGATGAGATCTCGTCGAGCAGAATGTGATTTTCAATCCGCCGGTGCTAGCCGGCTGAAACACCAAGAAGCGACTGCGTTTCCTGAGCTGGCGCGGCTATGACTTTACAGTGTGTTACTGTTAGTGTTACAGTAAAGCCTAGATCTAGACTAGTATTCATAGCATATTCTAGCCTGAATTTTCTGTCTCTTTCGTTCGTTAGCCTCTGATTTGGGTAGGGTCGGCTCCTCTCTTTAGCCGACCCTACCCAAATCGGAGGCTAACGAACGAAAGAGACAGAAAAATTCGGGCTATGCAGGCCTAACTTTAGATCTAGCAGTTGCACTGTCTTAAGTAGATCTAGAAGTCTATAGAATTCTAGACCTAAACAGCATTTAACCCCGAATCTAGTATAGATCTAGGCCTAGATCTAGGGCTAGATTCTAGGCCTAATGTACTCTAACAAAAAATTCTAAATAGATCTAAATGCCTGATGTAGATTTCCTCTAGATCTAGGTGGATCAATGTGGAAGTTTAATATGGAGGGGGGGGGGGGGGGTGCACAATCATTCTGTGCCCCCTTTTTAAGATGTGGCATAGCCATAGGGACGGGTCTAGATCTAGGTCCAGAGCCACCTACTAATAATATTAAAAATAGGCAATTAGATCTAGATCTATAGCTTGTAGCAAAGACTTCCAAAGCCATGGGTCTAGGCTCGTTTTTGATTCACTAGACTAGACTAGTCGTGCACATGTGTCATTATTGTGATCCAGGTCCAGATTCAGCTTAGTTTGAATGTAGATCTAGGCTAGATCTACCAACGACAAAAAAGAAAAGAAAAAAAAAGGTGTCTCTCCCCCCCCCCCCCCCCTCCCCACCTCCCACTTCCCCTGATTTCGCTCTTAGTTATGTCATTGTGCCTTGTTTGAAATAATTAGTTTATTTTCAGGATTTTATGCCACTCCTTAGTTTTATGTTGGTGAGAATTCTGGATCCAACCCTACATATGACATGGATATTTCTTTCTCTAAAGGACATGAACAAAGTTATAAACAGATAACTTATGCATGCATTATGATATTAGCAGGAACCTTACTAAGTTTCTGTTTTCTTTTAATTGTAGATGCTATGGAACAAAAAAGCAGATAATGATCACAGAAGTGCAACAAAGAGCACCAGGACCTGATCAACAAATGTATCTAATCAGGAACAGGACACCTAAGACCTAAGTTGAACTTTGGCAAGGTATGTTTGTATGAAGTTCGAAAATATTCAGGCTGTATAATCTAAGCCCATGCGAACACCACACTCGACTTGGACTATATACAAAGATTTGGGGAACTGTCATCTTGTGTTGCATTATATCTTGTAATTCTCAATTATTCTCTAGCTTTTTATTTAGGTGACAAACTATGGTGTTGCTACAGTTTATTCTCTCAGCATATTAAAAGATGTACTCAAAGGTACTTTTCCTAAATATTACATTATATCTAACAAACTTTTGTTCACAAAAGTCTAGCAAATAATAACTTAAAATAAATTGGAAATTACTTTTAAAATAATTGGAAATACATTTAAACCTTTACTCTTCTCTTCAAAAAAGGCCCTATCAGATAGACATAAGTTTATCATTTTTTAATAAAATTAAAATGCAACACCACTTGTAATCTTTAGTATTAGTTCATCTTCGTGAAAGGCTACAACGCCTTTTGAAGATTACCAGAAGAATAAGAAGAAGATATATCGAGGATCATGAAAGTAATCATATCTTCTTTTAAATGCGTGTACATGGAATATAGTTTTTTGATATTTAATCTTAAGTCAAGTTCTGACAAAAATATTAGGGATGCTGTACTGGATAGTAAATTGAAGGGGGGGGGGGGTTATAAAATTATGTAGTTCAATAGTAATACTGTAGTAATATAATTATACACTGTCGCTCATAAAGTTGGAATATTTTTGTTTTACCCTAATTTATGGAATTATTTTAAATATAATTTAAAAATAATAGATCTAGATAATAATATACATTCTCAGATCTTATTTTTAAATTATTTATAAAATAATTCCATAAATTGGGGTAAAACAAAAATATTCCAACTAATAGTAACAATAATGACAATGATCATGATAATAGTAGTAATAATAATGATAATACAGATAGTAGTAAAAACAACAACAATAATGTCCAATGTAAGATAAAGTACTCATAAAACTCAGTATATACCTGTTCTTTACATAATAAAATAGCATGTTGATATTATTGAATATTTTTTTCAAAATCTACAGTAAACTTTTACAACTGAAAAATTTGAATTCAAGAGACAGCCCCCCCCCCCCCCATCCATTTGCCATCCTTTTGTTGATGTCATGTTGGAATTAAAAAGATCTTTATAGAAAAAAAAAAAAAAAAAAAAATGAGTTCATAAATGTTAATAAATTAGTTGATACTGCTTAATTCTGTTCTTTTCATTTTCTTATTTTGTGAAATATATGTGATGATGCTGGTGATTATGATGATGTAGGCACTCTGTAATGATAATGCTGTATGACTGAGGTGAGATGGGGTCTGATGCAGTCTTGTGTAGAATTGAGTATGGTGTTCGACCTTTTGATGTTTGTTTATATCTGGTATCAGCGAGATAGATTTAACCCGGCATCTTTCCTAATGAGAGAAAGTGGAAATGTAACAAGAGAGTGGGCAAGACTAATGTATAAATACAGTATAAAAAATGGTTTACAATAAAGATGAGGGGGGGGGGGTTAAATAAAGAATAAGTCAATGCCAAAATGATGAAAGCATATAGGTAATTGGGGTGTGGATGGGGAGGGAGGTTAATAGAGCCTATGGAAATGTCAATATTGGAAGGGGTCCCTGTATTGAAAATGTTACTGTTGGGGGGGGGGGGGCAAATTTCCCCCAAATCAGTGACGACGAATGCAAAAATTTAAATTTCATTGGGGATGGGGCACAATATGAAGAACATTGAAGTCGAGGTGAGAATGATTCATTATTTGGACACTAAAAATATTAATATATCACTTGTTAAGTCGGCTAAATGATCTGTAGATGACGTTGACTTGCTCAGAAATTTGTCGCCCTCTAGTGGCAGCTGATTTTTGGTTCGATGGAGCAAGCTGAGTTTGTTTGATACCGAATGTTTTGATTGTCAAAAATCGTATTCTGAGGGATATTCAGTTCACAAAAGGGCACAGAGGTCAGTATATTTATATATATGATGTTTGCTTGCAATTAAGTGCTGTTATGTAAAGGATTATGAAGATTAATTTGGATATAAAGCCAAGTCTGGCTGTATGTAGCGATACGTTCATGTACACGTGTAATGTGCGACTGTGTAGGAATTTACGTAGAACGGTAAATTCATTTATGAAATATTGGATAAAGTGAAGAGTAATGACTGATATATATGACTTATGACTGTATGAGACAGGTTTCATTTATCATAGTTATGAAAGTACTTGTATTAGGGTAATTTAGGACAAAGATAAATGAAGTTTACAAGGAAGGGTCTGGAAGGATCTACACTTTCTACTTACATAGAAAGGCATATGTGGGGCAATGAAAAGTCATTATTCTTTCGTCATTGGAGTTGATTCAATTTAGTTAGGCTGTCAAGTTACAAGGAGCCATGGAAGCCTTATAAATTGTATGACATAATGATTATAACGATTGGCAAGGGTTTATAGCCAAGATTATTTTGCGTAGATGATTCTGTGATCGATCGAAGCTGTAATCGATATAAATGCTCATTTCCTTATTTGATAACGTATTGAAGCATTGCAGTTGTGGTTAGATTCATTTGCATATTTACTTATTATGCTTGCAATTTTTGTCTTTGTCATACAGTTTTCACGGAGTTACATGGATGGATACGGAGACGTAAAATAAAGATTGACAACTCCCGTAAAAGCTTGTGTCTGACTGAATTTATTGGGTTTTCGTGATCGACAACAGTTACAGTGAAAACTCTCCCACAGTGAATCCCTACCAGAAGATTCCTTGTTCTGCCGAGACTGGGAAGCTACAGAGACACCTGTTAATCATGACTGAAGAACAACCTGCTCCGCAGAAGCGACAGTCAGTCCCCACAGAAAGGAGCATCGAATACCAGCTCGATCTGAAGACTAAGAACTTCAGAAGCAGTGTGACCTCCTGGCGACGTAAGGCCAACAAGCTAAGAGCTGCACTAATAGATGATGTTGGTTTTTCTGATGTCAAGGCTCTTCGAGATGGGTTACAAGTACTGATGGACACTGTCATCAATGGGCAGGAGAACCTCGCTGAGTTACGATTGTCCTCCGAGATAGCTGATGATAGTGAGGACAAATTAGAGGAAGTTGAGAAAGAACACAGTTCAATCATGAAAAGCACTCTTGACAGAATGATTGTTCTAAAGGAAGATGAAAAGAGCGATGATGCATCTGTGAGGCAAGCAGTCACTTTCGATGAACCATCACCTGTTGATCCACCATCACCTGTTGATCCGCCTGTTCATGAGACTTCACCCATTGACCCTTTGAGTCTCTTTGCAGAACAGTTGAGAGCCTCACGATTGCCTCTACCTGAACCGACTTCATTTGATGGCAATCCCCTCTTGTATCCAGGTTGGAAACACGCCTTCGACGTTTTAATTGATCGCAGTGGCATCACGCCTATGGACAGGTTCTTCTACCTTGAAAAGTACCTGAAGGGTCAACCCCTAGAGCTAGTAAAGGGATATGCTCTGATCGACAACGAAACAGCATATCATGATGCCAGAAAGGCTTTGGAAGAACGGTACGGAAATTCCTTTGTCATAGCTAAAGCCTTTCGAGACAAGATGGAGAGATGGCCTCGAATAGCCACAAAGGATGCACCTGGTTTGAGGAAGTTCTCTGATTTCCTACGGCAGTGTGTTACAGCAATGGACAAAATTCAGAACCTTCATCATCTGAATGACGACTGTGAAATTCGTAAGATCCTGACCAAGTTACCTGAATGGTTAGTTGTACGCTGGTCCAGGAAGGCTTATCAATGGGCAGACAGCAATGGCAGCTTTCCTCCTTTCAAGCTGTTTGCACGTTTCATCGAGGAGGAGTCAAAGATTGCTTGTTGTCCCATCACCTCTGTTTATGGATTGAGGGAAACAAGATACGAGAGAGGAAAGGCAGCAGTATCAGAAGTCAGAACATTAGCAACTGATGCCACTAGCAGTAGGAATCAGAAAGGAATGGGTGATAGAAAGCAGCAATGGACTGTATCCTGCTTGGTCTGCAAGAAGCCACACTCCTTGGAAGAGTGCCCTACCTTTTCAGCATGGGAGATGGCAGAGAAGAAGAAATTTATCGTTGAAAGGGGCTTGTGCTATGGGTGTCTAAAGGTTGGTCATCGATCAAACGAGTGCAAGAAGAGAAGCACTTGTAAGGAGTGTAAAAGGAGACACCCAACAGCACTCCATGTTAAAGACTGGGTGAGGGTTAACGCTCAACCTTCAAATCAAGATACAACCCAAGATGAAGTGAGGTCATCAAGCTCACACATTGCAAGGAAAAGTAATGGACAAGAAACACTCAAAAGCTCGATGATTGTTCCTGTATGGTTGTCACATAAGGACAGTGTTGGTGAAACTTTGACATACGCCCTGCTGGATACTCAGTCAGATACAACTTTCCTACTCACATCCATTAAGGACGAAATGGGGCTACATGGGACTAAGGTCAACTTACAGCTATCCACGCTATCCATGAAGGACCAACGAATAAACAGTGAACGTGTGTATGGACTGCGTGTACGCGCACATGATGGCAAGGACAAATTAATCTTACCACCGACGTACACACGTGACATCATGCCGGCTGACCGGACACATGTACCAACTCCAGAGACTGCTAAGTCCATTCCTCACCTGCGTGATCTTAGCAGCAAGCTCATTCCACTACAAGATTGTGACATAGGCCTATTGTTTGGTTATGACTGTGCGAGAGCCTTGTTGCCGAGAGATGTGATTCCTGCACCATTCAACAATGGACCATATGGCATACGAACCGACCTTGGATGGAGTATTGTAGGAACAATACGTAGTGACTACAACCGCAAGAATGACGACCGTATTGGCATCAGTCACCGTTTGATGACAAGAGAAATTCCAGAGACATTGGTGATAGACAGAAAGGAAGTCTTCCTTTCTGAAAGGGTGACAACCAAGGAAGAGATCACACCCTTACTAGTGAAGAGTATAATGGAAGCTGACTTCACTGATACAAGTGTAGAAGGGACGGCTTTCTCCCAGAATGACATCAAATTCCTTGACATCATGAATAAAGGAATACACATGAGTGATGGTCACTATGAGATGCCGCTTCCTTTTAAGGATGAAAGACCTCAACTCCCGAACAACAAAGCCCAAGCATGGTCGAGACTTGTACATCTGGAGAAGAAGTTCAGACACAACATAGAATACCAAAGGAAGTATACAGAAGTGATGGAGACGCTTATCAACAAAGGATATGCCGAGACTGCTCCAATGACTGATACTGTGGGTGCTACCTGGTACATACCACATCATGGTGTAGTGCAACCCAACAAGTTAAGAGTTGTATTTGACGGCAGTGCACAATACAGAAGTCATTCTTTGAACAGTCACCTACTCACTGGGCCGGACCTCACAAACAAGCTCACCGGGGTGCTATGTCGATTTCGACTTGAGAATATTGCATTCATATGCGATATACAAGAAATGTTTCATCAGTTCAAGGTGAACGAAGAAGATAGAGACTATCTAAGATTCCTGTGGTGGAAAGGTGGAAACCTTGAAGAGGATCCAAGTGTGTACCGCATGACAGTGCATCTCTTTGGAGCTGGGTCATCACCTGGGTGTGCTAACTTTGGGCTGCGACAACTAGCGACAGATAATGCCGCTGAATTTGGAGAGGACGTCAAGAATTTCATTCATAGAGACTTCTACGTTGATGATGGACTCAAGTCGATGTCTACAGCTCAAGAAGTGATACAATTGATCACCAGAACCAGGCTGCTGTGTGAAAAGGGTGGCTTACACATGCACAAGTTTGTATCCAACGACAGAGATGTGCTGAATTCTGTACCAGAGAAAGACAGAGCCAAGAATGTGAGAGAAATCAACATTCAAAGTGACGACTTACCCATTGAGAGGGCTCTTGGTGTCCAGTGGTGCGTTGAGTCAGACACATTCAATTTCAGACTCACCCTTCAAGATAAACCTCTCACCCGTCGAGGAGTATTGTCTACAGTAATGTCCATATATGACCCATTGGGTCTGATAGCTCCAGTCGTCTTGACAGGCAAACGAATTCTACAGGAGCTATGCAACTCATCAAAGGACTGGGATGACCCTCTTCCTGACCATTTGAGGGAACGATGGGATAGATGGAGAACTGACTTGCTTATACTCCCCACCATATCAATCAACAGATGCTACAAACCAACTGAATTTGGAGAGGTGAAGTCAGTAGAATATCATCATTTTGCTGATGCAAGTACCAGTGGATATGGACAGTGTACTTATCTGAGAGTCACTAATGCTGAAGGACGAGTTCATTGCTCCCTCGTCGTTGGAAAGGCTAGAGTAGCACCGCTGAAACTGGTAACAATTCCCCGTTTAGAATTGACAGCAGCAGTCATTGCTGTTAAGGTCAAAACCTTCTTGGATGCAGAACTACGACTTGATGAGGCTACGCATACATTCTGGACTGACAGCAATGTAGTTCTTGGGTATATCAAGAACTCAGAGAAACGTTTCCATGTCTTTGTGGCAAACAGAGTTCATCAGATTCGACGTCACTCCTCTGCATCACAATGGAGACATGTGGAATCAAAGGAGAATCCTGCTGATGAAGGCTCGAGAGGTCTGCTTGTACCCCAGTTAAGAGATTCCAAGTGGCTACACGGTCCTGAGTTTCTGTGGAAGGAGACGTTTTCCAATGAGTCCAATGAAGGAGAGATGTTCGACATAGAAGATGACGATCCTGAGTTGAAGAAATCTCAGGTTCATACTTCTCAGACCAGTACGGATAGCCTTGATTCCAGTAGACTGAATCGATTTTCGACTTGGAACAAGGCTAAGAGAGCAGTTGCTAATTGTTTGCTATTCATCTCTTGCCTGAGACAACGTTGCCATAAGAAACGTACCAGAAGACAGTGCAAACTTTCTGAGGAGAAGAGCATCAATCTAGAATACCTGCAGAAGGCCGAGATAGAGATAGTAAGAATGGTACAGAGGGAAGCCTTTCCAGATGAAATCCAGACCCTAACTGCTATTCAGAGAGGAAATGACTTGACTAACAGAAAGAAAACTCGTCAGATGAAAAGAAGCAGTCGACTCCATCAGCTCGACCCCTTCTTAGATGACCAGGGAATCCTGCGAATTGGAGGACGCATTCGTAAATGCGATGAGCCATATGAGATGAAGCATCCAGTAATCCTTCCTCGGAAACATCACATGACTGAACTCATAATACGTCATTGTCATGAGCAGACTGCACACCAAGGAAGGGGTATGACACTTAACCAGATCAGGCAAAATGGATTCTGGTTAATTGGAGGTAGCAGTAGAGTGTCAAAGTATATACGTTCATGCGTCATCTGCAATAGACTGCGCCGTCCTACTTTGACTCAGAAGATGTCCGATCTACCCACTGACAGACTCACACCAGAATCACCATTCACATTTTCTGGAATGGATTGTTTTGGACCTTGGTTGATAAAGGAGGGTAGGAAGGAATTAAAGAGATATGGACTTTTATTTACATGCATGGCATCCAGAGCTGTGCATATTGAAACCCTCAACAGCATGAACACAGACTCATTCATCCAGGCATATCGACGTTTCGTAGCCATTAGAGGTCCAGTACGCCAACTGAGATGCGACAGAGGCACAAACTTTGTAGGAGCTGCATCTGAATTTCAGAGAGCCTGGAAGGAAATGGACCATGCCAAGGTCCAGAACATTCTACTGAATGATGGATGTGACTATGTTGAGTTCAAATTCAACGTTCCCTCTGCAAGCCATATGGGGGGAGCGTGGGAAAGACTGATCAGATCCGTTCGCACTGTGCTGGATACGTTGCTGCATCATTCTGGAAGACAACTAGATGACGAGTCTCTACGCACTCTGATGTATGAAGCAGCTGCAATTGTCAACAGCAGACCACTGACGACGGACAATCTGAGTGACCCTATGTATCCTGTACCGCTGACCCCGAATCATCTCTTAACTATGAAGACTTGCATCATTCTTCCTCCCCCGGGATGCTTCCAGCGGGTTGACCTGTATTCCAGGAGACGATGGAGAAGGGTTCAACATCTACTCAATGAATTCTGGAGCCGTTGGAGGAAAGAGTTCCTTCACAACCTGCAAACGAGACAGAAATGGACTGTTCCACAACGAAATCTGAGAGTCGGAGATGTGGTCGTTGTTAAGGATAACAATGCTCCTAGAAACGCATGGCCAATGGGTAGGATTACGGAAACTTATCCCTCGGATGATAAGCATGTTCGTAAGGTTAAGATCGCAATGGGTGAACAGAAACTGAATGCAGTAGGAAAGCGAACTACCCCATGTTCTTACCTTGAGCGTCCGATTCATAAACTAATATTACTTGTCCCACAGGAAGACCAGGAGTAATTCCGGACAAGGAGCCATAGCGTAACTTTGCGAAGATTATTTTTAATTTCACTCGTTTAAAGGAAATTTATGACCTGAAGTCATGTTTATATCATATATGGATGAAGATGACATTGAGACATTAAAAAATGATACATGAACTCCTGAATTTATTTGAACTGGACCAAATGAAGGTCTGAACTCAGAGACTAGAGACTCACATTTTCTTTGGGTCTGAACTCAAAGACTAATTTCTTGTACATTTGAGACTGAATTGAGAGACTAGTACTTTTTACTTTGATCTGGGTCTTAATTTAAAGACTAGGGTTTTGGTGCGATTTGTATCTGACATCCAAAATTAAGCTATGCGCAATGTTGGGCCTGACTTTAAAAATGGTCTATTTTGCATGAAGGGTCTGTAGGAAAGACTAAGACTAATTTATGCATGATATTGTTTTTTGTCTGGTTTGAATTACGATAACTGGAAATTTTTTATTTTCAGTTTAGGCTTGACAAGAAGTCTGAAAGTAAAGACTAGAAATGTATTGCTTTGAAGAAAACCTAAGTATGATTCTGATTTCAGAATCAATTTGTAAGCAAGGTTGGGCAATTCAACCATTAATTATTTTTCATGGTTTAGAGTTGTAAATTCTTCTGCGCACTGAAGGAGTAGAATTTCTGGATAGTTTGCATTCAGTAAGTTTGTCATACCCGTTCAAGTCAACGGCAAATTATTTATGCAGGTTGATGCTAACCTTTGAGTATTTCAATTTGATTTGAAAGGAGTACAGGTATAGTGTCCAGAAATCGGAAGAATTCAAGTGTTGTTTTTTTTGGCCTATGAAAATGACAATTGGTCAATAAGTTGTTTTTGTCATTTTCAATGTTCACTTGTGTGTATAAGGAAGTCATAGTTTTTTCATGACTACAGGGCAATCAGTGAATTTACACCAGTTCGGATCTCTAAGAATTTGTAAATGTGCTTGTGCTCATTTAAAACGGTTTGATAGGAATTTAATACTTACATGTTATTTCTTGATAATTGGTGACATAGATTACATTCCATCTGATATTCCAGACCAGTGGTCAGAACCTTGTTATTTTTACTAAAATGTGAAAATTTACTTGTTGAATGATATTCCATATATTAATTTGCATACTTTGGCTTGATGTAATATCATGCATGTATATAATGTGAAGTACGTACTGTACAACTTTTTGATCTCTGTGGAATTTTTCGGTTAATAACTGGCAAAGAAATACCTATAGAGGGTAAATTAGTTTCAGTTTTTCAACTGATTTAAAGGAGCCATGTAGATGACGTTGACTTGCTCAGAAATTTGTCGCCCTCTAGTGGCAGCTGATTTTTGGTTCGATGGAGCAAGCTGAGTTTGTTTGATACCGAATGTTTTGATTTGTCAAAAATCGTATTCTGAGGGATATTCAGTTCACAAAAGGGCACAGAGGTCAGTATATTTATATATATGATGTTTGCTTGCAATTAAGTGCTGTTATGTAAAGGATTATGAAGATTAATTTGGATATAAAGCCAAGTCTGGCTGTATGTAGCGATACGTTCATGTACACGTGTAATGTGCGACTGTGTAGGAATTTACGTAGAACGGTAAATTCATTTATGAAATATTGGATAAAGTGAAGAGTAATGACTGATATATATGACTTATGACTGTATGAGACAGGTTTCATTTATCATAGTTATGAAAGTACTTGTATTAGGGTAATTTAGGACAAAGATAAATGAAGTTTACAAGGAAGGGTCTGGAAGGATCTACACTTTCTACTTACATAGAAAGGCATATGTGGGGCAATGAAAAGTCATTATTCTTTCGTCATTGGAGTTGATTCAATTTAGTTAGGCTGTCAAGTTACAAGGAGCCATGGAAGCCTTATAAATTGTATGACATAATGATTATAACGATTGGCAAGGGTTTATAGCCAAGATTATTTTGCGTAGATGATTCTGTGATCGATCGAAGCTGTAATCGATATAAATGCTCATTTCCTTATTTGATAACGTATTGAAGCATTGCAGTTGTGGTTAGATTCATTTGCATATTTACTTATTATGCTTGCAATTTTTGTCTTTGTCATACAGTTTTCACGGAGTTACATGGATGGATACGGAGACGTAAAATAAAGATTGACAACTCCCGTAAAAGCTTGTGTCTGACTGAATTTATTGGGTTTTCGTGATCGACAACAGTTACATGATCAGTGCAGTTTTTCTGATCTAAAAACTATTTAAGTTAATAAACAAACAAAAAAAAAGAGGTAAAAATGAATTGAGGTACAACAGTGAAATGGGGTCATTATTTTTGCCTTTTAACTGAACTGAATTTTTTAAAATGTACTTTCCATCCTGGTGACAGTGAAGTTTGTGGCCCTAACTAAGTCAACCATTTAAAAGTTTATTACCCCCCCCCCCCCCCCCCCACCTCCCCTCCCCCCAACACACACACCTCCACAACTCTGCATGACCTTTGTTCTACATTTATCCGGCCCAATTATAGTCTTTAGTCAAGGCACTCGTGCTGTATTTCCCTAAACGCGCCTGAATACATAGACTAATCGCGCGACGACTGTGATCTGTGGGACGAGGTGCGTCAGCAGCTCGGCCTTTACTAACCTGAGTGGTTGTTGTAGTTTATTTCTTTTGTTTTGTATTATATTTCCGCTCCCGAATCAGGAGATAATTAGATGCAAAGTATCTTACCCAGAAAGCCGGCCAAACCGCCCCTTCCAATCCGACGCACCAATCAGAGTAGACGATTCGAGAAAACTTCATGCATATTCATTATCAACATGTATAATCATAAATACATTTTTGAGCGGTTACAGAACGACGAAGGAGATCTCTTATCAAAGAGCCTTGAATATGCGGTCGAAAGGTTGAAATTATCATCTTTTAAGGAGTTACAATCAAAAGCTATAAAATCAGCAGTGAAAGGTGAAGATGTATTTGTTAATCTTCCAACGGGTTATGGCAAATCTGCGATTTTTCAAGCCATTTCACTGTGCAAGGACTTCTTTGTGCGGACGACCACAGTCGCTGCCAGCACACCATCCCCATGATCGGCGTCTACTCCCGAAGCTGCCCAGAGTTCGGGGGCCGGGAGGTACTACTCACACCGCACTGCACTGTCCATTGAAGTTATCGTTTCACCTCTTATTTCTTTAATGAAGGAATGTGAACCAAACTTGTCACACACAATAAAATGATATCTTCAGTATAAGAAATAGCTAGGAAAACTCTTGCACAGGAACCATGCAGAATGTACTGCATAGAAGATATCTACCCTTTTTTGCACATCTATTACATTATAGACCTAAGCAGAATTACCAGAATTTGATGTCCTTTTCATTATTTTAATTCACTTGCATGCAGCTAGCTCAGCTAGCCCTGCAAATTCAAAGCTCCATGAACGCATCGTTTTCACACGTACACAGATATTCGAGTGTTGTACAATAACAATTCCGACCAGCTGATCGTGCGAACCACTATGCGTAGGTTAAAGGTAATACAAAGTTTTGGGAAATTTAAAAAATGGGTGGATAGTGATTCTTTACAATTTTCATATATTTGGATGCCCCTGTGGGTGTATTAAAAGCACTAGAAAATTTAGCCCCTAAAACACCTCTGCTTTCGAGAAAAATTGAATATAAAAATTTACCGGTGCTCCCGGTAAATTTGATGAATTTCAAATAGCGGCCGTACAATAGTAGCTGCGACAATGAAAATCTCAGAATATGTAGTTGAAATATATAATTTCCAAACGGGAATAGCTAATCGGTCGATTTTAGTCAAAAAACATTGTTCTATAGCTTAATTAATATCTTGACCTTGAGAGGGAGCTATACAACTTAAAGAGTTTATCATTTACAATTTCATAACTTTAGACTCGATTTCAACAGCGACAACGATTACTTAATATTGTAGGATCGCATATGCTTCCAATATGTTCATTTGAACCAAATTCATGACCCTATACCAAAACTTTGTATTACCTTTAAAATGAAAAACAAGGGAACAAAATTTTACTATAAATCTACTAAAGTAGCAAAATAATAAATACCCTAGTCAATAAGTAGAATATTGTTTTTGATAAATTCATATTTTTTTCGAAATTGAACTAGATATTATTTTATTTTTTTAGTACATTTGAATACCGATTCCCCCACAATTTCATGGACGAAGCCATTTTAAACACCGCGCGGTTAAAACAATTAGGATTGGCCACGATCATCACTAGCTGCTGTATATGTAAGGCCCTCATGCATATGCACATAATGATGAGCTCCGCAATTTAGCAAAGGCCAAGCCGCTGAAGCGGCTCGGTCCAGCGATCACTGCTGTAAAGCCACACTGCGTTAGTCTATTTTCAGACCCTGCTCGGCAGACAAGCAGCGCGCGAGGCCTTGTCCAAAGGCTAGCCCAATTAAAGATTATGGCGATATAGTAACGCATGCGCATTGTCTTTTTTTCATTGCGATAATATGCTAATAAGTGGAAAAGAGTCATGAATATTCAAAATTTTAATTTAAATATTTTGCGCGCTACGCGCAGTCCAAAATCCCCATTTCGCTGGTGCACTAAAAATTTGTCGTCTTCATAGGCTAATACATGAAAAGTGGAAGCAGTGTGCACTTTTGACCCTCCAAAATCTCCCCATTGCTAGACGGATGCAGAAGCGGAGTTGAACCTCCCTGCTACTAAGTATATATCTCTATGGTAGCGTATGAACATGAATAAACATGATTATATGACGTCATGATATGTCATCTGCATTGCTCAACTTGCGCTGTGCACTGCACTGCGGGGGTAGCAGTCCTATGTATTTACTGAAATATGTTTCCTTGTCTAGAAGTTTAGTCATTGTTCTTTAATAATCCAGCATTGCACAAGCCTATATATCCAAAAGATAATATGGAACTGTCAATGACTTCATAATTTGAATTTATAGAATTAATGATAGATATGACTATTGATATGTAACCCGTGGCATAGTGGCAGGGGAAACCACTTTTAAATTATTATGCCAGGGTTCAGGTAATAATAATTATCAAAGGATTGACTGGCTTTACTCACATAGACCACCACACATTCTCACGTCTTATGTTGAGGTAAGTAGACTTTTAAATAATGGTCGATAGGAAGTATAATTATATTTACTTAATACATGGTCCTTTAAAAAATATATAAGTATAACATTCATCATCATCAACAACAAATCAAACAGCAAAATACCAATCTCATTTTAAATCTACTCACGGTACCGCTACTTAAATCAAGCGAGGGGGTGCGCGCGAGAGCTCTCTAAAAGTTCAACAACGAACTGGATCCGATTCGAAGTGCGATCGTGGTTGTCGTCCTCTGGATGTCCAGTTGCAACTCCCTAGCTACGTCAGTCATGCTTCAGATGATTAGGCAATCACCACGAACACCGTCACTGCAACTTGTTGAATCCATGAAGTTCTGTCATTGACTTATGAAGTTTCGTTCAGCATTCTGTGGCCGTCAACACCCCTTTATATCGACTAGCGAAGAACGATGCTTTGTAGTTGTATTCTGATTTAGAGTCTTAGTGTTGCTTAGTAATCACAATGTTCCCATTCTGATTCCGCTTCGGAATCTGAGTTCTTAGTTCTGGGCTCTGTCACTATTCTCGGTATTGATTCTCAATCTGACTGATATAGTTCTTCTCAATTCTTCTAAAAGTCTGAGTTCTACATTTCGATTCTCAACCCGACTCTAACAATTATTCTTGTCAACTCTTCTCCGTCGATTATTCTTCGCCGATCATTCTTCTGAGGAGCTCTCCTCCTTACACGCACTTATACCACATTTACAATACATGGACCAGTGTAGGACTTTCCTAAAATGTTATTGGACAACAGCAGTGGCGTACCTGGGGTACTCCGTCAGGGGGGGGGGGGGGGGCAAGCGACCGAAACAAACAAAAAAGGCGATGCTAATTTTCACTTCTGGCGAGCGAGCGAGCAAAAAAAAAATCTTTAAGTAACGTTTGGTATATAAACTGGTATTGTTGCAAGTTGGGGGTGGGAACATTCACTTGTTAGCGACGTTAATTTCATTTCTTTGCAAACGAGTGTAGCGAGCAAGAAAAAAATCACTTCTTTTTTAATAATTGCCACTTAAACTTGGTTCAATAATTATTGTCCCATGCAGTGCGCGGGAACAATATTGTGTTTAGGGTGATTTTATACCCATTTTTAGCTAGCGAGCGAAAATACATCTTTCTCTCAATGAATTGCTATATAAAATTTGTTTCATTGTTGCAGGTAGGGGGCGGGCACAATCATGTTTAAGGCAATGTCAATCCCATTTTGGCGGGCAGGCAACCCCCTACATTTCTCTTTTTAATGATATTGTAGCAGGTTAGTGGTGGGCACATAATTCCACGAGCTAGCGAGCGTAGCGAGCGAAAAAAAAAATCACTTCTCTTTTATAGGGAAAATATGGTACATAAAACTTGGGTTCATTGTTCCATGTCAGGGACGTGATTATTAAAAGCGGTGTTATTTCTATTTTGCGAGCGAGCGTAGCGAGCAAGCAAAAAAAATCACTTCTCTTTTATAGGGAAAATATGGTATATAAACTTGGGTTCATTGTTCCATGTCAGGGACGTGATTATTAAAAGCGGTGTTATTTCTATTTTGGCGAGCGAGCAAAATTTTTGTAATGATAAATTTCAGATTTTTTTGTTTTTTTTTTGTTTTGTTTTGCAGGGCAGGGCTTACACAACCATGTCTAAGGTGATGTTAATTCCGTTTTGGCGAGCACGAGCACACCAAAACTTCTTTGAATAACGTTTGGTACATAATTATTAACTGGTTGTTGCAGGTTGGGGCGGACACGTTAGCGGTGGCAACTCCATTTTGGCGAGCGAGCAGAGCGAGCAAGCAAAACAAAAAAATTCTCTTTTAATAGAAATTAATAAATAAACTTGTTTTTATTGGGGCAGGTCAGGATGGACGCAATCGCGTTTAACGCGATTCAATTCCTTTTTGGCGAGAGGGCGAAAAAACTCTTCCATTTTTAATGATATTGTTGCAGGTCAAGGGTGGGCACAATTGTTTCCAAAGCAATGTCTATTCATTTTATTTGCGAGCGAGTGTAGCGAGCTAGAAAAATGAATT